ACATTTCAAATTGACTGCTTAAAGGTCACATTCCTGGGAGGGTCTGAAACTGTACTTACGCTTGGTTTGCTGTCATCAGGTTGGGGGTGCATTTTGGGGCCTGTTATTTCTTTTTTTGAACACAAGACATGGTGGGTCTCCACAGCCTGCATGGAAGACATCCTGTGTGACGTGTTTCCTTGCACAGCTGCAGCCAGCCCAGCTAGGCACTGCCATGTATCTCCTCCTTCACAGCTCACTCACCTCTTTACCTCACTCTCATTGGGATGACACTTACCAATGAAGTTCCAGCAAGTAAGCTAAGACTCCCCAACATACAGAAATACCATCCTGCTGTCAAAACAGTGACATAACCACTTCACACCCACTGGAATGACTGGGACCAAAAAGTCAAAAGCCAACAAGTGCTGGCGAGGATGTGGAGAAATCAGGACATGCACACACTGCTGGTGGGAATGTAAAATGGTGCAGCTGCTTGAGAAAAGAGTCCAACAGTTCCACAAACGAGTAAAAATAGAGTTACCACGTGAGCAGTTCCACCCAAGAGACGTCAAAATCTGCGTCCACACACAAACATTCAAGTGTTTATTGCAGCAGGATTGGAGATAGCCAAAAAGTGAAAACAACCAGTTGTCCATCAACTGGTGAGTGAATAAAGGAAGTGTGGTATTTCCATATAATGGGATATCAATCAGCCATAAAAAGGAATGAAGTAGTGACACAGGAAACAATGCGGACGAATATTGAAACATTATGCTAAGTGAGAGAAGCCAGTCACAAAATCACAAAAGCCCGAAAATTATATAATTCCATTCATATGAAACTCCAGGACAGGAGAACCTATAGAGATACAAAGGAGCTTAGCGGTTGCCTTGGGCGGGGGAGTGGAGCCGGGAAGGGCGGGGTACAGGGTGGGCAGGAAGAGAAGAGCTAAAGCACACAGGGGTTCTTTTGGGTTGATGAAAATGTTCTAAAACTGACTGTGGTGATAGTTGTCCAACTCTGTGAATATACTAAAAAACCTCCAAAGTGAACAATTTCAATGGGGGAATTGCATGGTTTGTGAGTTATATCTCAATAAAGCTGCTAAAAAACGGTGACACAGTCTATACTGATTGACTTTGAAAGACACTCTTAATCTCTGAAGAACTGGTTCCACTCTATGTGAAGTACAATTCTACTTGTGTGTATTTTTTTTTAATGCACATTTATGCACAGGAAAAATACCTGGAAATACATACCCCAAAATGTTAACAGTACCTCTAGGTGGTGGCATTATGGTTGTTTTTTAAAATATATTTTTCCATATTTTCTGAAAGTTTACAATGAGCATATGATGTTTGTTAATTAAAAATAATTTGCTTAGCATTCTACCCTATTTTTAAAAATATTTATTATCAATGGTTGTTAATGTTATAATAACAGGCATAGTAGGAATACAGACTAAGGGCAGTAGATTGCTCACAAGATGTCTCAAAGTCCTTAGGAAACCCCCCTCCCCCATCCCATGGTTCTTGTGTGTCCTTACTTAGTGCTTTGGGGAGAAGAGATGGCACTGTGTTTAGTTCATAAGCAACAGTAAACTTTCCTTGTGTAATAGAACACCTATAATGATTAATATAAAGTGGTTTAATTAAGAACTAAATGGTACCCTCATGAACACATTTCCCTAAATACTTAACTCAGAGTAGCTGACTGGATTGGGGAGAAGAGAACCCATTATGTCCAACAGAGAGCCCACATTTACTAGAGAAACTACATGAGTAACAGCTTTACTGGGGATAATAGAGTTTCAAACTCAAAATATTTGAATGTGGTTTCTGATATGGAGGCTGCACCTCCAAGACGGTAACTTCAAATTCTTCCATTGTCCCTCCTCTAAACTGACTTCATTTATGGGATCAGACTTTACAGGCATTTAAGCAAACCACACAGGCTGGAGATGCAGTGACAAACTCTACCTGCACTTGAGGCTACACTCACAGCCCTCGGCAGGGATGGACAGAAAGCAGTCCACAGGCATCCCTCCCAGCTTCCCACAGGTCCACAGGGCCCCGGTGTTTCTCCAGGAGGCCCCCTGGTTCAGAGTCTCAGGACAGATGCGGCAGGAGACGGAGTCAGAGAGGTTGGGCTACGTTACTCTCGGCTTGGTCAGAGACAGCAAGTAACCAAATGAACAAACCTCACCATAGGAGTTAGCTAACGGAATTCAGAGCCCCCTTCCAGGAGAGGCAACATAGGAACCCATAAAATATTCTTGTAAGGTCTGTGCTTGTACATAAAGGGTACTACAACTGAAAGAGATATCGGGACAGTCTGCATAGCTAGGCGGAATGGCAGAAGAAAAAAGATAGAGAAAACTATCTTAGATCCCAGAAGACAGATACACTGATTTCTGTGCTGTAAGGGACCTCTGCACACAGCGACTAGGCAGGTCAGCCAAGAGCTGTCACATCTGCTTATTGGGCCTCATCTACCAGAATAAACCAGTTTTTGAAAGCTGTTGTGCTAACGAGAAGCTTCCTGCATTTGCTGGTGTTTCCTAACTGAATCCATGATATGTCTACATTTCGAGGTCAAGGCTATGATATAGCTGCATCTCCATGAAGTCAAAGCTTGATTTACATCAATGCTTCTCAACCTATGTGTATGGGACTTGAGGCTGATGGCAGGGTAGGGGAGACACAGCACAGGCTTCTGATGGTTGCAAAAGGGATGACTCAGTTACATAGCCTCCCACTGTATAGATGTGCCATCATTTATCTAGAGTTTCCCAACCGTTAACAGTTAGGCAGCTTTTTATTTTTTTCGCTATTACAAAGTTCCAATGCTACCGTGATGGTATAAATATATATCTCTTCATACACTTAGGCAAGGTGCAGTGGAGACACTGGCCAAGACCCAGATTATGATATCCCTTTAAGTCAAAACTGCTCTGAACCTTTGGGAACAAAGTATATAGTGAACAGGGCTCAGAGAGGACTATACAGAGAGTGTGAAAGCCTGACTCTGCCCCACCCACAGGGAGAGGTGAGGATGGAACCCCTCCGTCCCACCCACTCCCACTTTGTCTGCATCACGCTCAAGAAAGAAAAGAAGTCACTTTATTAGCAAATGCTGTCTTGATTGAACCTAAGCGTTCGAGAGCAGTTTTCAGCTTTGATCCACAGTGACGGCATGTTTTAAAATTTATTCTCTCAAAGAAGTAGAAAAGATTAGGTTAAGTTCGTGCCAGGGTGGCATCACGGCTGGGTGTAGCATAGCCACACCACAACCAGGCTGTGTCTGGCCCCTAAGTTAGAGGCAGCAATGACCCCAGGCAGTACTAACAAGCTAATGCACGGCAATGTCTTTACACAGGACTTCTGAAGTTTCCCAAGGAAACACTTCTGACAGTCAAGGAATGTGAACGTAGCCACCGTCAGCCTACTTTTCCTTGAAGTCTCCTGTTATCATTACAAATTCATGAGAATTCCCCCCCCCCCCCCCAATAAATGAACTTTGAGAAATATTGATACCTCAGGAAGAAGTTTCAGGGTTTTTTTTTTTAACCTTCTGGCATATAGCCACAAACCTCGATGCTGAAGATGCCACACACAATGGTATTTCCTGCTGCCTGAGTCTGTAGGGTCTCTCGGCCATGAGAGGATTTGCTATTTAGAGCCCAAACTTCCTCTCTCAATCTCTGCTCATCAGCAGACAGTATAAAAGACCACAACCTCTTTCTCCGTTGTTCTTGTTGAAGAACGTCTTAAATAATAGGATCTTGCTCAATAAGATGTGGGTTTTCAACTGGCATGGGCCTGCCCTCCTATTTAGGTGGTGTGACCCATGTGGCAAACAGGATATGAACGTCAACAGGATAAAACAGTATTTTATTTATTCCTGAGTGGTTTTGACAGTTTGCCTTCCAAATGAAAGACAATTAGAAACTGGAGGAAATTATCGTGTGAATGAAATTTTCATCACTTACATTTCCCTAAAGGATTTTATGTCAAAAAGGTTTCTGAACCCCTTTGGCAGCTGGGAAACAAAGAGTATGTTGAACATCCTTGCACTCACACAAACAACTCTGCGAGCCCTTACAACCTGCCCGGCACCGCCTGGTCACTGCGCGCATGCACTCGCTTTAAAGCACCAGGTATGGTGACCATCAGGTGCCTCGGGAAGCCGGACGGAGAATGGAGGTCAGAGCATCATCAGGTGGCTCGGCAGAGCAGAGAGCGATCACCTGATGACGACACGTACAGGAGAACAGGTTAGGAGAGAGGCTTATCAGCGGCCCAGGTCTGGGTGGGGCTCTAGAGGCCAAGCCGCGCAACCCAGGGATGCCAAGCGGCCGGGGCCGACGTATTTCTGGAAGCGGCTTTCCCGCCTTCCCGTCGGAAGCCGCGCGGCGCCGCCTCCCGCCGGGGGGAGCGGGGCCGGGGCTGCACCCGGGCCAGGAGCGGGGAGCCGCCCTCCCCAGCGCCCGCCAGCCGCGTCCGACCCCCAGCCCCGACCGGTACCCCGGCCTCGGCCGCCCGCCCGCCGTCCGTCCGTCCGCGCTCCCGAGCCGGCGCCGGGCGCTGGATGGCGGTGGCGTGGGCTGACGTCATATGGGCCGCCCGCCCCCGATTGGCCGCGGCCGCCTCACCAGACCGCGAGCGGACGGGCACGCGGGCGGGGCGGGGCGCGCGTAGGCCACGCCCCCAGGCGCGCGGGCGGGGCGCCGGGCCGGCGGGTCACGTGACCCGGGCCCCGCCGCCCGCTTTATAAGCGGCTCCGCGCGCCTGGCGCTGCGGGCCCAACTCCAGGCGGTCTGGGCCGCGACCCTCTCCACGACCTCTTTCCCCGGCGAGCCCGCTGGCGGGCGCCCTTGGACAGGTGCGTGGGGCGCGGCCGAGGGGCCCAGGCCCGGGCCGAAGGGGCGGCCGCCCGGGTGCAGCCAGGATGTTGAGGGCGGGGATGTCGGGGGCGGGCGCCCCCCACCCCGCGGCCTCCCCACCCCTCCCGGCAGTGGGACGGACGGCAGTGGGGCGGACGGCCTTCCTTCAGGGGCTGCGGCACGCGCCCCGACCCTCGGGCCAAGGCGCGCTCTCCGACCCCAGCCCCAGGCGGCACCCCTGACCCCAAGTGAGCCCGGTCAGTGGTCCCCTCCGTCCGGGAGGAGCCCTGTAACTTGTCCTGGGGCGGCCTGCGCCCAGCTAGGCTCTGCCTCCCGCGAACGGGCGCAGTCTGGAAAACTTTTGGACTGGACGGGCCAGCACTTCAGGGTTTATGCAGAGGGGCACTTTTGCGGATGGGGACCTTAGAGGGCTCTGCAACACTCCGGTCACCCAACACCTGGCTGCCGCTGATCGCAGCTGTGTGTCCCTGTGGGTGCCCTTGCCACTCCATCCCCTTGGTACTGCTGTGTCGGCTGCCCTGTCCCGCCGACTCTCCGAGGGATTAGGGAGTTTTCCTGGCCCTGCTGGTGATGAATGTGAGCACACCCTCCATCCGACGGGGCCTTCCCGACCTGCCGTGTCCCTTGGAAATGAGCTTGATGGTGGTCCCCCCCTCCCCGACCCCTTTTTCCTTCTAGGAAAGCCTGCCGGACCCTGGTGACTGATGCCCAGATTGGACGACCACTTCTGGAGCTGTTCCTGTGCTAAGGGCCGGAGGCACAGAAGCCACCAGAGAACCGGTTCCGGAGGGGTGGCCGCCAAAGTGGGGAAAATGATCAACTCCTCGGTGCCCGGCCCCTCCCTGCTGGTGGCCCACAGTGCCCCGGACACTGACCCCTCTCGGGGGCCGCAGAGCACTGGTGTGGGCGGCCGTGGGGCCAGCAGCTGCCACACTAACAGCTGGCATCACCACTTGGTGCAGAGGAGCCTGGTGCTTTTCTCAGTCGGGGTGGTCCTCGCCCTGGTGCTCAACCTGCTGCAGGTCCAGAGGAATGTCACCCTGTTCCCTGAGGAAGTTATTGCCACCATCTTCTCCTCAGCCTGGTGGGTTCCTCCCTGTTGTGGGACAGCAGCTGGTGAGTAGGAATAAAAGATGGTTGTTTAGTTAAAAATGTTTTTCAGCCTATGAGAAACATTTATTTAAATGAAAATGGAACCATCCACAGATGACAAGTGTGCATCTCCCCTGTTTGTGTTTCCGGGAGAACGGGGTGGAGAGGATATCGAACCCCAAACGCTCGTCTCTGGGGGTTGGAGGAAGCCGGTGATGGAGATAAGGTGGGGAGATAATTGGCTGTTTCACGCTTGTGCCAGGCTGACCAGGTCCTTCCCTCTTACTGACCTGGCACTGAGGATGTTGTTGGGGGAGCCCCGCAGCTGTCATCCCGAGCAGCTGCCCCCGATTGGCCGCCTGCAGAACTGGTGAGCGGCGGGACTTGGCTGCCATTGGTTGCCGGCTCAAACATGATACACTGCTGGGTGACTGAAAACAACCCATCACGTGGGCACAGTGGGCAGAGGCGTTGCCAGGGAGCAGCCTCTCCCACTTCCTTTCGCAGGATGGCCAAGTGAACGTGGCCAAAGCCAGGCCTCTCCACCAGCACTGCTGGGAAACTGACCCTGCGTCCAGGGTTAGGTGTGAGTTCTCATAACTAGTCCCAGAGATGCTGTGAAACAACACACGGTCAGTCGAAGGCACAGGCAACTGCCTTCATTTAGTAGAATTTCTTGGTTATTTAGCTGGTTTTATTAAGGTCCTGAATTGGTCTTGGCCCAGAAGATCTCTCAGTACTGCTCTAGTCACACAGCATTCATGGGTTAACAAATGTGTCAGCTGCTTCTGCAGCCCCGGCTCCATCAGCTGTTGAAGTGCAGAGTGAGTAGAAAGCCTTGTCGCAAGCACTGCTCGGTCTGGAGGGCAGGACAACCGTGTGTGGCGTGGTGGGGGGGTGGGGTGCAGGGGGTGACGACAGTAGCACAGGAGGGTGCCCTGCTGTATGCTTGGTGGCTGACGTTCATGGACTTTGATGCCCACGTTCTGTTTCATAGGCTTTGCTCCTTTTACTTCTTACAGCACTGCTCTGCTGTAGCTCCATTTTACAGATGGGGAAACTGAATCACAGAGAGATTAGCTGTGTCCGAGGGGATCCAGCCAGCGAGCGGCAGGACCACTGTTCATAACTCGGCATACTGCCTCCTTGGAGTCTGGGTGTGTCCCCTGCTCTGTGGAAGCACGTCACCCTTTCAGCAGACTCACTTAAGACGACAGGAAGGCACAGGCCGGGATGGAGAGCCCTGGTCCTGGCTCGGACAGCCCTCAGAGGGGTGCTCTAGTTATGAAGCAGGAGGCACAGTGTTTCCGTCTTTGTCCTTAGAAAGATGGGACCTTGCTTTGTTTTTCTAAACGCTTTAAGTACATGGCTATACTATTAGATGCAAAATTCTATTTTTCCTACACATTTGGTGCAGTAGTTTCTTTTTTTGAATCAAAAACTTGATCTTAGAAATGAAAGTTTAGGGTTTATTTGTAATTTGAAGCTTCAAGGAATTCTCGGAGTATCTGAAACACAATTTTTCTTACCCTGCTTTTCTTTTGGTAAGGAAGATTGGCCCTGAGCTAACATCTGTGCCGGTCTTCCTCTGCCTTGTATGTGGGACGCCACCACGGCGTGGCTTCATGAGTGATGTGTAGGTCCGCACCCAGGATCCAAACCCATGAACACGGGGCTGCCGAAGCAGAGTGCAGCCGCTTAACCACCGGGCAGGCCCTTACTGGTCTTTTTGACCATCAGCCAAGAGCATAAGGGAAAAATTCCGTAGTACCTATTCATCTATTTAGCTTTTAACCTCAAAAGGTAAAATTAAGTTATAGTGAAGTAAGTTAAAGAGCTGTTTGGGTTCTGTTTTAGAATGAGAACTTGATAAAATGCAATATGAAATTGAAACTGAAAATCTTCCATTTGAATGTTTGGCTGAAACTGTGTTTCTTGTTTCTCTGTTCAAGAATCTAAAGTGGTTACCTCTTTCATAGGACACCCAGGTGGACAGCCGTATGGCTGTCAGGCCTCAGTACCTGGTGACTTTACGTGGTGGAAACCTTGGGTCCCAGCGTTGGTCCTGTGGGCCTGGTCCCCACCAGTCACCACATGCCCTGTTCTTTCTTTTCTGTCTTCATCTTTCCTGGAAAGCCACACCTTCTCCCGTGACTGAAAACTTTCCAACGTCCCAGACCACAGGGAGCCGCTCCTCCCCAATCTGTGTTATATAATCCTCATCATTTCACACACGAGGAAACAAACATGAGGAGTCGGGTCCCAGCAGGGCCAGCTGGGAACGAGGCCCTGTGTTCTGTGCCTGGTCCCCGGGTCTTCCCACCGTTCAGGGCCTGGCTCCTAGGGACAGGTAAAGAAGAGCAGAACCAGCGTGGTGGTCTGGTCGCAGCACCAACCCATGGGGCTGGTGCGGAACGTGTGCTCGGTCTACAGACTAAATGCTGTTCTTCTGGGCGTGTGGCCTTTATGACCCAGACGTCAGGGTGAGGTCAACACAGATGTGCCCAGCATCCCTGCCGGTCCACGGAAGGAATGTCAGCGCCTTGTGGCCTCGGGTCTTCTCAGAAGCTGTCTCCTGGTTGTGAGGTGGAGATGACACTGGTGGAATGGAAGGCTGATTCCACAGGCCTTTGTGTCCTGCACTTGCGGCCTGCACGGACAGTTAAGCCCTCACTCCATCCACTTCTGTGTTTAACTAAACTGAGGAACAATTTTAATCTTATCAAAACAGTGATTTTTTTTGTTTATACTCAAGGAAAACAAAAATACGTAATTAGTCTCGATTTAGATATTATGTTATAGCAGATAAATTTTCTAGGAAAAGGACTGGTTTGAGTAATATGTTAATAATTGCCACATAGAAATCCTGTGATTTTAAGCTGGTACGTTCGAACACTGTCATCTTTTCTTTCTTTGACAGCTGTTGTCGGCTTACTCTACCCCTGCATCGACAGTCACCTCGGAGAGCCCCACAAGTTTAAGAGGGAGTGGGCCAGTGTCATGCGCTGTGTAGCAGTCTTTGTGGGTATCAACCACGCCAGTGCTGTATCCTTCAGTGGATGTGCTGTGTGCAGAGCATTTTCTTGGGTTATGTGTTGAAGCATTTCATTACTTTTAATGAGTAAATGTTATCTCATAGTTTACTGGAACAATCTTCTTCCAAGTATTTTATTTTAAAGCGTATTGCTTAGTTTACACTTAGTGGGAGTTTTTGAAATGGTTCCTAGAGTCCTTCCAGTTCATTTCAGGAAACGGAGTAATGCCAGAAGCACAGTGCACACATTTAGTCTCTTCCTTGTCAGACGGCGTCTTTCGGTTCCTGAGAGTTCACTTTGTAATTCCTTTTGACCTTTCTACCGTACGTCCTTCCCTTGTGAAGACCTGGTTCTGCGGCCCAGAAGTGGCGAGAGAGTCGCTCTTCCTGGAGCTGCTTCTCCCAGAGGGCCAGTCAAAGTGTGTGTCCTCTGGAATAAGGTTCTTAATAGCAGCTCCCTGAACTTCTGGTGTCCACGGGTGGCATGCCTCACACAGGAGCTAGTGTGTTTCTGTGCAGAAGTGCAGTTTTCAGGAGGATGGTTCATAGTTTACAAGATCTCCAAAGATTGAGTTTCTTTAGCACAACTAAATCATATTTTAAAATCTTAAAGATATTTTTAGAGGTACTGACTCTTAAGTCTGCTCTACCCCTATTTTAATGGTAAGAATGTCAGAAAAGGGTATTATGAGATACTTCAGCTCTGACAGGTTCGTTTTGTCACCGGTTGATAAGCGGTGTTGTGGTGAAGCCCACTGTGCCTCCACAGACTGGCATGTGTGGCGCCCAGCGCCGTTCTGCAGAGGTGTCTTCATGCGGACACTGAGAGAAGAGGACGCTTGCTCAGTTCAAGGTACTGATGAAAACAAGAAATAAGAGCAGGGCCGTGGGTGACTTAATACCAAAATAGGTTGTTTTTTGGCCAAAGTACCAGCAGAACTGTATGGATGGCGTCTAGAAAGTTTACTCGTAAAGTCGTTTTTGAGCCGGTGAGCCAGAGGTTTCAGGTCATCGTGATCACAGAGACCTTGTATCCACTGCTTTCTGCAGCGCCCTGGGCAGATTTGATGGATGGAGAATCCGGTGTGATTCCTGGGCTTTTTTTAACGCATGTGTAATTCCTGGGCTTTTTTTGTTGTTGTTTTTGATCATATTAAAAATCATTAAACTTTTCCTTAACTTGTCCATCACCAGAAATTGGATTTTGCCAATAACGTTCAGCTCTCCTTGACGTTAGCAGCCCTGTCTTTGGGCCTCTGGTGGACATTTGACCGTTCCCGAAGTGGCCTCGGGCTTGGGATCACCATCGCCTTCCTGGCCACTCTGATCACTCAGCTACTGGTCTACAATGGCGTCTATCAGTAAGTGTGTGCTCTCAAGTATCGGCTCCATCCGGAAGCTGTCGCTTAACTTGCATTAGAAAAATACCCGCTAAGCTGAGATGTCATGTTTATTTGGCCTGTATACATACATGACATAGTTTTAGGCGTGAAATTCTCAAAAATGCTGCTTGTTGTTGATTCATATGTGAAAAATGCACCACTCATGGTGTAATGTAGAGGAAAGCCAAGCCGTAGCAGCAGGAAAGCATGGCTCCCCCGATGTCAGCCCCCTGCAGCGCGCCCGGCCAGCACGCACCGTCTGTCCCACTGCAGTCTCACCCCGGGGGACCTGGACTCAGGGAAGGTGACCGCTCAGCCGTGATTTTTCTTTGTCCTCTCTCTCCAGGTACACATCCCCAGATTTCCTCTACATTCGCTCCTGGCTTCCATGCATATTTTTCTCAGGAGGTGTGACAGTAGGGAACATAGGACGACAGCTGGCTATGGTACGTAAGGTTATCTTCGCTCTAACACTGTAGTTAGCAGCTTGACAGAATCGCTTTACGTAGTATGCTGTAATTTGTGTTGATATTTGTCTAGTTGAGACTCAAGAGCAACAATTATTGAGAAAAGTGTATATTAAAAAAAGTAGGTAACAATACCTAGGAAATTGTTTGCTAGGTTATAGGGATTCCGAGGTTTGTAGACCTCCATCCGAGCTGGGCAGGAAGGAGCTGGAGCTCCGTGCAGCTCCTCGGGCCACAGACGGCTCAGAGGCTTCTCTGGACTCAGGCCTGCCGAGGTCACGGCAGAGAAAGGGTTACTGAAACAGCTGAAATGAGTGGTTCATGCTGAGTTTCTGTCCGCCTTTCATGGGGGTGCAGATGATGCTAGGAGAGGGCATCAGAGGTGGATGGAGCCTGCGGCTGCGGAGACCCTACCCCAGGTCGAGGCCTGGCTGAGAGGGGCAGGTGGACCGGGCGCAGGGCAGGGCACGGCACTTGGCATCGCTGGGTGCGCCTCCGTCCCTGGGTGATGGACTCCCACCAGACTGCCCTGTCCTCTCTGGAAAAGAAAGAAGTGTGCCCTCCGATGGCACGGAGCCGGTTCCTGCGAGCCAGAACAGCAGCTGAAGTCGAGGATAATTGGAGCAGTTCTTTTGGGTAGTTAAATTTGAGCACTTAACCAAAAGAAAATTAAATGGGGACATTTAAATGTTGTTTCAAGTGGGCTTTGACCGCAGGGCTTAAATAAAATGAACTACAGAAAGGAAACTGGAGTCTTATAAGGGCCATTGCCCTCAGATAAAGTCTGGGGCTTTCTCAGAAAACTTATCTTGGTCCCTCATGTGCTATTTTTAGAACAGGACATTTATTTGTGCCAGCTCATCCTTACTTGTGAGAGCTAGATTTGAAGGCTGCTTGGCCATTTCACAAAAATAGAAGGAGTTTCAAAAAGATGGACTTTAGAATGTTTTCCAGTGGTTCCTGAGGCTAAGGCGTCCTTCTCTTCACCCCTTTGTAATTCTCTGTGGATGTGGATCTGCTGCTGAAACAAACAGTCTCCACTGGAAAAGCTTTGCTTCTCGGGTCCCCTCTTGAGCGTCCGAGGGCTCGTCTCGTCAGACAGCCTCAGCGACGCACTGGGCTTCTCCCTCCTGTCTGCCTCCCCTCCGCCCACCTTCTCAGTTGTCCAGGTAGAACCAGGCAACCCACGATTGTTCGACTGCTTTGAGAGTTTTATTTCAGTGCTCTTTAGGAGAGAATTGTTAGTAAGGCTTTTGGGATAAAAGTGTCCTCAACCAGGGTGACTGTTCATAAACTTGGAGTGTGAACCACATTGAGCGAGTTACTTACTTTTGGGGATGATGGGCTGATGCTGTTATACTTTTATGATGAAGGTTTTTTTAACCAGATTTAGGAAATAAGCATTTTTTTTTTAGTAGAAGTAGAAACTTGACAGCATGCACAAGTTCTAAACTTCTAGAAATAGTTGGAGGAAACTTTTTAAACGAGTTGCACAAATCATACCTCTGCAGTAGTTTTACTGTGTAATCCTTGCTGTGCTCCCGCCATCTGTATGGAAAAATCTTTAAAGACAACTTAGAAGAGAATAGTTGGCATAATTCTCCCTTACTTAAGCTTTCTTTTCTTCCTTTTTACTCTCTGCAATTGGGGGAAACTTACATCGGGGCCTTCTTCTTGTCCCTTGGAGCTGGCGGAGAGTGCTTATGGCCTTCCCTCTGAGGCCGTCCAAATGGAACAAACTTCGCCCCCTGGGCCCAACCCCACCTCCTACACTCTCTACCCGTGGCGATCTGATCCTTAACCCCTGGGTCCCAGCTCAAGGAGAAGTAGCAGACTTCTCAGAGCTGTGAAGCTTGGCTCACTTGAAGGAGGCAGGCCCTCCGCAGCCCCAGGAATGGTCACAGCTGGTTCTACCAATTCCGCCTCCGCCCATCCCCGGCATCTGTCCACGGAATGAACTGGTGATCGAGAGTGGCCCCTGCAGGCTGCTCTACGGGCGGAAGAAAGTGTGCCCTGTTCCCAGGACTTCCCAGCCCAGTGGAGAGCACAGTGACACGTGTGAATACATGTGAAGCTGTCGTCAGTTCTGTCCGTACCTGTATTTCTGCCGCAGAAAGTCAGGCGAGCGACTGCGCGGAGCGGAGCTCTGTTATAGTCACTTGAGTGAGTTTGCAAAGGCCTGGGAGTGAGGAACGGAGTTGGAGGTAGAGCTTTGAAGGGGAGGTCAGTCTGACTGGCAAAGAGAAGTGGGCGTGTAGAGCTCACGCCTCTCTAGTAAGAACTGACACGTGTGCTGGGGGACGGAGGAGAGTGGGCTGTGGAGGGGAATCAGAAGTGGCTGTTTCTGGGAAGTAGAACTGCAGGGGGCTTTTAGGGGGTTTCCCTATTCTGCATGTAACAAAAATTTCTTATAATAAGAAATCACTTTTATCATCAAAACCACACCAGCTGTATGTGGGAACTCGATAGTGGTCCCCGGGTAGCAGATGGATGTGTGCGCCATCAGGAGGAAGACTCGCCACACGGGTGTTCCGCGATGTTCTCGAGGCTGCTGCCGGGCTCCCGTCCTTCCCCTCTGCTCTCGCCACTGCAGGAAGCCCAGCACTGCTTTTGACCCCACGGTTCTTTGAACACCGCTGTCGGCTCCCTGAGAGAACCGTGGCGTGAGGTTGTGGATGACAAGGAAGGCGGGATCGGTCCTGCCCAGAGCTCCAGACCCTTGTCCCCCGTCCCCCCTGCCTCGAGTCTGTCCAGCTGGTCTCTTTGCTTTTGCTCCTCTTGGCTTCCAGCCCTCAAAGCATCTGTAAATGACTCTCCTGAAAGCAATAGAGTCTTGTAAAAAGTGGGAAAGGCCCCCATTCTGCAGTCCGCCTTCCAGTGCAGGTGGCTTCAGAATCTTGCACCTGCTCCTCCCCCAGCGGTCCTCCCTGCACGTGGGCCTGGAGTCGGGGCACTGCCCTCCGGGCCATTTCCAAAGGTGACAGACAGCCTTTCTAAACATGGGCTGCTGCAGCAGAAAGACAAGTGCCTGGAGCAAAGTTGTGTTTTTCATGAGGCTGGAATTGGCAAGCGTAGGAAATCATACTTGCTTCAGACTCGGTCAGGGCTGAAGAATGAACAATACATTTATAATAAGGACTGTTTTACAGAACTGCCTCCCTATAACATGACTGTCCTTGCCTAACTAGTTTTTCAGGGGACCTGTCGTTTTGGGGGTTCCCCCACCACGGCAAGAGCAGGAGACGGTCATAGCGGGTTGGAGCGAGAACACTGCTGTGAAGGAGCGGCAGGCACGGCCCACAGGCCCCACCCCCCTGCTGGGCCCGGCCCTGACCCTGCCACCTGCCTGGATTCTGCAGAGAAGGCCCCAGGGCTGCGGGAGCTCTGCCGCGGGAGCCAGGGAGGCTTCAGAGCGGGGGAGCCCTGGGCTCCGTGCGTCCTGACAGGTCGGGGAGTATGCCCTCGTTCAGGCTTCTGTGTGGTGTCCCAGATCGTGGAGAGTGTTGATTGTCCCAGCAGGTTTTGGTGGAATCTTACAGTTTAGGCTGTGGCGTGGAATCTTGCCAGAATCTTCCTATCAAAGAGAAAGTTAGACATTTTCAAAGAGCGAGTTAGAGTACTTGAGCCTGTATCCTTAATTATTTTCTTTCTTCAAAGAAATGAAAAAAATTAACAACAGTTGTCTCATTTGTAAAAACCAGCTGACTCTGCTCAGAATCTGAAAACTTATTTCCATCCCGAAAACCCAGGAAGTTGCTCAGTGTCTTAGGAATGGATTGGTCGCTCCTCCTGTCCCGTGCTTAGGCTGTGCCCACTGAAGGTCATGCGCGCGGCTCGTCCCTCCTGCTGGAGCGCCCTTCCCCACGGGCCCTCACGCGTGCTGTTCAGGCGCAAGTGGCACTGGCTTCGTGTTCCAGGGGCCACATTGAAGAAGGAACTCGTGGTTTAAAATTGACACCTTCACCGAGTAGGGCTTTGTGACGGGATGTTACTGGAGTGAGGAAGATAGAAATCTGAAGGTGAAGAGATTCTGAGCTTGGGCGCTCAGTCAGCACTGGGGCTGCATCTGGCCGGTCCAGTGTATCCCAGGTTCGTGTTCCACACTGCTGCTGTTTTCCCAGTGCCCTTGAATCCTGCATTCCATCGGCCTCTAGAACACCTCTTCTATTCCTTCCCACAGTTCCCTCCCTTAAAAAGAATCATAATTACTTGCAAGGATTAGCCACGCCCAGACGCTGCATGGTGGCTTTGCTCACAGTCAGATGGTTTGAGTAGCTTTTACTATGTGGTCTTTGTTGTCAGTCTTGATGTTTAAAAGAAAATAATGAGTCTGCAGCCTCATTTTATAGAATTTGTATTTGTTGCTATTTGTAGCTTAGCCTTTTCTCAAGAAATGTAAGGTGTCACCTGCCACAGTGATGAGCATGGCTCTGCCCTCTGCAGCCCAGACCCCAATGCCTGGTCGCAACCCCCGGGCAGTGTAGAGTGGGATTTGCCCATCCTGTTTGTGATTGACCCAGCTCAGCCACTAATGAGCGTGCTGATGCAGTGTGAGCGGGTGTGAGGACTAACGCTCATTAGCACTGCTGTACACAAGGTATTGTGCTGACGTTTTCGTTGTTAGCTGATTTAGTCCTTGCAACAGCTGGAAGTGAGCACAGTTACTGGCCCATTGTAAAGATGGGGAGAGTGAAGCCTGGGGCGGGGAGTAACCTGCCCAGGTGGGTGCGGAGAGCGTTTGAACCGTGCTGTTCCTGCGTGCGCCGTCCTGCCTTGACACAGCTCGCATCTGTCCCTTGTCCTGCAGGCCCTCATAAGTTTGGGCGGCCGTCCTGGGTTTCCCGCAGGCGCCGACCTGCCCCGTGAACTGTGCTCCCCTTGGGCGGCTCTCGTGGACATCTGATGTTGCATCTGGCTCAGGCTGGTTGTCCGCTCAGGGCGGGGGTCCCTTAGGGTCTTGCACCCACACCACACCTCATTGTGTGCACCCACGCTCTGACCATGGCTCCATGTGCTCTGCCTTCTTCCCATTTCCAGCACGTTGGTGGCCCGCTGCACTCCCAGTGGCGAGAGTCTAGCCTTCTTCCCATTTCCAGCACGTTGGGGGCCCGCCGCGCTCCCAGTGGCGAGAGTCTAGCCTTCTCCCCATTTCCAGCACGTCAGTGGCCCGCCGCGCTCCCAGTGGCGAGAGTCTAGCCTTCTCCCCATTTCCAGCACGTCGGTGGCCCGCCGCGCTCCCAGTGGCGAGAGTCTAGCCTTCTCCCCATTTCCAGCACGTCGGTGGCCCGCTGCGCTCCCAGTGGCGAGAGTCTAGCCTTCTTCCCATTTCCAGCACGTTGGGGGCCCGCCGCGCTCCCAGTGGCGAGAGTCTAGCCTTCTTCCCATTTCCAGCACGTTGGGGGCCCGCCGCGCTCCCAGTGGCGAGAGTCTAGCCTTCTTCCCATTTCCAGCACGTTGGGGGCCCGCCGCGCTCCCAGTGGCGAGAGTCTAGCCTTCTCCCCATTTCCAGCATGTCAGTGGCCCGCCGCGCTCCCAGTGGCGAGAGTCTAGGGCAGGTTTGCTTAGTGTCTTCCTCTAGCTTGAATTTGACAGGTGGCAGTGCTTTCCTGTCACCAGTTCTTGGAGGGCTGTGTGTCCCGGGGAGGAGTGAGCATGCCCACGCCTCACAGGCCCCGTGCACGCCTGGGCGCAGGAGAGCATCTGTGGTTTCGTAGGTGAGCTCCTCGGCTCGGCTGCATCGGGACGCACGGCTGCCTGAGGGGGTGCGTGGAAAGACCTGGCTTCAGGGAGCAGGTGTTTCCCGAGGGCCCTCTTCTGCCCTCGAGGAGCTTCACCACCTCGGGAGCCGGCTGCGCCCCCTGCCCGTTCTTCAGTGGAACATCTGTCCTGTCTCGAGGATCTGCCAGGCAGTGCCTGGAGAGCAGGAGCAGCTGTGGGTGTGCTGCAGGGTTTGCTGAGAGCCCCGTGAGGAAGCATCGAGAAAGGGTTTAAGGCAGAGTTCTTCCTCAGCGTTATGAAGCGTGCCCTATTTCGAACATAGGTCTCACCAAATTGCTGGTAGCAGAAGTTCTAATGGAGAAACCAGACGTTAACATAGGGTTATGGCAGAAAGCTCCCCTTCCTCAGGTAAACAGCCTGATTTTGTACCCAAGAGCGCCCGTCCCTGGATTGCAGCCAGTGAGAGCCTGTCGGAGCCCCTGTCATCCCACCAGCATCACTGTGCTCAATATGACCAAGCGTGTCCTTTCCATGGGCACAGACATGGCCGCCCTCTCCGCAGCGGCCCCCACCCCGGAGCAGGCTTCCTGCTGGGCTGCAGCGAGGGGGCCCGGGTCTTCCAGGTGCCTCGCCTGCCTCCCGGCCCAGGGTAGAGGAGCTCACGGTGCGGGGCAGCGCGTCTTCTGCCCCAGTGTGTTCCACGGGCCTTGTCTCCGTCACCTTACGCCGTCAAAGGAAGCGTTCCTCTTTCACCTTTTAGGGTCCTCTGAATTGCTGATGAAAATATGTACACCTCTAGTGCTGATTTCCTCTCGCTCTTTTCTTCTCTGCACATAGGGAGTTCCTGAAAAGCCACATAGTGACTGAGTCTTCAAACCCACCGATTCTGAAGAATGACAAGATTGGGAAGAAACTCTGTGATATTGGATTGTGACAAAGATTGTTTTTTCCCCTCAATAATCTATTAGATTGGGCTGACTGTACAAGTGACACCTGGAAAAACAAATTCACCAGTTTTAGAATAGCAAAGGGAAAGAGTAACTGCTTATCTTGACCGTGACCCTGCTCGACTGCAGCCATGCCTGCGCCTGCCCTGGAGGCCTGGGTCCCGGGCGGGCAGCAGGCTGCAGTGTCCCGAGTATTCGATTTCATTCTTGTTATTAAAGCAAGTTGCCATATTTCACAGCCTTGAACTAAAGCCTAATTACCAGCTCTTGGTTTTGTGTCAGTGCCCACAGGGGGTAGGTCGATGGTGCTTAACAGAGATTAAGTGCGGTAAAATAGGAATAATATTTATCCAAAACATTTTTAAAAATAGGGTTGTGTCAAAAAAGAGAAAAGCGGCCGCGGTGCCAGCGAGCTTCGGGAGGCCGTGCTCGTGCGCCAAGGTGTGTCACGCTCACGCAGCCACACGCGTGTCCCACAGTGCACAGCTGTGCTTCTCGTTCCTCCCGGGGAATTTTGTGTAGACAATCTTACTGATGGAGAGGTGAGGGAGGCCGTGGTTGTGTGCTGTGATGTATTGGGATTTTCACCTCAGTATTTATGAAGTTTTATCTAGAATCTTCTAAGAGTGGATACCTGTCTGCCATGGGTTTCAGTCTTAGTGAGCCAGACTGTTTGTTGTTCCTTTAGTACTCCAGAAGAGAGATGCCTATTTTTTCCACAGCCCTATGGAATTTGCAATCTGTGATTGCCTTGTAAAAAGATGAGTGCGTATGTCACTACACTAAAGATTTGGTGTTTCTAAATACTCAAAGATAGTGGTGAGCACAATGTAGTCATTTAACGGCACAGACCGTACCAGACCCAATTTGCAAGTATTGGGTCTTAAACTTCAAGTGCAATGTATATGAAAACCAATCTGAGCCTTGTATTCTCTTAAATATTTATTTTTTTTTTAACGTATGAGATGTAAAAGAGGGTTACCATTCATTTCAGTGCTGCATGGAGGAGGCAGAAGTCAGCAATAATTTCCTTCCGTTGTGAAGTTGCTTTGTCGGTATGTGTCCACTGAGCCCTGGTCCTTTGAAATACTCCAGTTTTGAGGGTTTAGTAAACTTGTAATTTTTACTTACAAATTTACCTTTTTGTATTTTGCAATTTAAATATTTTGGGTTTGTTTTAAATTCCGTGAAAGAGGCTTGATGAAAAGACTCCGTTGACTCTCAGTCGGCCGTCGGCAGGACGGGGCCTGGGACCGAGTGGCGTGTGGCTGTGGACGTGTGCTCAGCTGCGTCCATGTGACGATCCTCGTTGCGGTGGTTTTGTTTTGTTTTGAGGAAAATATCTTGGAGTAAATTTTAAGTTACTGTAGCTAATTTGTTTTAGAGGAGTTTTGTTCAAAAGAAAGTGGGATCATTCTGAATTTTGCAATGACCCCTTATACATTTTCTGAAAATGAAAACAAATGACTAGCTTTGTGAAAAGACTTTTCAATGAAGATGTCAACATTTTATGAAAAACCACAAGTCATTAGATGAAAGCAGTAATTGAATCTTTAAAATATACTTGATCATGCACAAACAATAAGTATTTTCTCTCTTAAACTGGAAGTAAATGTATCTGTTAGAAATAATGTAGCCAAAAAATGTGAATCTGAAGAATTTTTTTGCCAATACTTTATAGCAAGTACATGAACCAAAGTGATTCGAGTTTGTAAAAATGTAAAATAGTATGAACAAATTTGCACTACGCCAGATTTGAACAGGTAGTGAGATTCACATTCACATCAAGTTTTCAACATTGTGTTCTTTTTGCATTCATTTTTTTACTTTTATTAAAGGTTCAAAACCAACCATTGTGTTCATGGGTTTTTATTCTTAAAAATGGGCAGTTCTTTATGTAGGATGTTAGAATTTGGAATGGAAAAATATTTTATAGCTCTTCAAATCTTATTGCATTTCAAAACAACCTCTTGAGAAAATATCACTTGAGTATGTTTTTTCCTTATGGTGGGAAGTGAAGTGTAGTAGAAGCCAGGATTGACCTCCCGCCTTTCCCTCCCCGCTGACTCGGGGAGGCGGCATGTCACGGGTCCTCCCAGGAGCGCTGTCCTCTGTCCTGCAGTGAGAGGTCCCCTTCCCCTGGGTCTAAGGTAAGTGTCTAGGGGCCTCGGCTCCCAGCAAATAGAACCCAGGAAGAGGGTGGAGCATCCTGACCAAGTCCCAGCCAGCCTGCAGGAGGAGCCCTGAGTAACAGCCCCCATGTGGGTGGGGCCCTGAGTGACAGCTAGACTGTGGGTGGGACCCCTAGTAACAGCCCCCCTGCGGAGGGGCCCTGGGTGACAGCCAGCCTGTGGATGGGCCAGTGAGTAACAGCTGGCCTGCAGGAGGGGCCCTGAGTCACAGCCCCCCATGTGGGCAGGGCCACAAGTAACCCTCCTGGCAGAAGAACGGGTCTGGCTGAGGTGCCCTTCCCTGGGGCCTGCTGGATAGAAGGTCGCCCAGGTGACTGGAACGGTGTCATCTCTGCTGTCTCTGATCGCTCCACAAACCTTTGCCCGACACCTGCTCTGCGAGCTGCCAGGGCTGGATGCTGGGTCAAGGTTGTGGGCGAGGGTCTGAAGCCGCCCCAGAGGCTTCGTGCCAGAGTCAGACAGGATCCCCAGTGAACAGTGCCAAGCTGGGATGTGTGTGTGAAGGGAACAACCAAGAAAGGGAGGCGGTACTTGAATCTTTAAAGAAGTACCTGCTGTGCGTAATTGGGCACCTTGCGTGGCCTTACTGCCAGACTGGGAGCGCCATCTCTCTGGATCTCATCCTTGCCACCCGACCCAGGGAACCAGGGTCGCCTCTGGAAACCCCTGCGAAGAACTGATCTGGAGGCGCCTTGCATCGCCCTCCAGCAGGCCTCCCCCTCTCCCGGGGGTGACACTGACTGCGGAGCTTCAGAAGGAGGAGGTTCTGGGAGGGAGGGCGGCCTGGGGGCGCAAGCAGCTCCCTGCCCCAGCGCCCTCCCCAAGGATGCAGGCGGAGCAGCCTGGCCGAGCCAGTTCCAGCGCTGGGCCACTGTTCCCTGGACTCGCTGCGCCCGCATGTGGCTCCCCAGAAAGCAGCCCCAGAGCCCCTCAAAATGAAAAGGTGCCTAGACTTCCCCGACCCTTCGGCTGTGTTGAGCTTCTGTAAAACGTCATTTCCGTTGTGAAAGAGCATTTCAGTGACAGGAGAGACAGGCCTTACCCTCAACCCAATACGTCTTAGAACTCATTCCAAGCCGACTGGTTTCTACCACCTCTAGGATAAAACCCGTCGTGTGTGGGAACACTGGTGGAGCCGATGGTGCAAACCTTTCCCTCATCACAGAGACGAAGATCCTGCCTGAGATTAATCCAATTTATGTGGATCTAACAGTAATGCCCACCCGAACTAGTCTAAATCTGGGTTTTAGAATAAGCTTGAGGAGTGGAATGTTTCCTGGACTTTTTCTGGCCAGTGAGCAAGTCACTGAGCCATCCCATTTCATTAAAGGTAGGTGTGTGCTTCACAAGAGGTTTTCTAATTGATTCTTTTCACATATTTGGACAAGGGGCTCCAGATAGACAAGGGTGCCGTGTCAAGTTAGCCAATTTTCAGTCACCTGCGGTCTTGCCTAAGGAGTGTTTCTGGAAGCTTGGTCTAAAGCCTTGAATCAGATATGATCACCTTCTTTGGTGCCTGGTGCTCTCCCACCCTTGAATGATAGAGATTCCCTTTATCTTGGAGATAAAAAGAGACGAGGGAAGGGAACCAGCTTAGATCTAAACTTGCCTTTTCTACCAAATGTGTTAAAATAGACTTTTTGCTAAGATTGTTCACTTTCTGAAGGTTTCACATTATCTCTGTAATAATGTAACTATTTAGCAGATAAAGCCTTAGAGTATGGATATACTCTTTAAGAAGTATTAAGATTATAAAATATTAATAAAGAAATTCAGATTCAGCTTCACGTATCTTACACAATAAGAAGCTGACTAAGTGCCTCCTAATCTACCGCCGTGCTTGCTCGTGGGGAGGACGCGGGCTGACGAGCAATAAATTAGCCACGAGAGGGATTTCATAGATCCCAGAATGCAGCCAAAATATGTGAAGAAAGATGCATGAAATATATCCAGGTCCAAATTGCCAAAGTTGGTGCTCTGTGGATTTTCTGTATAAACCATGCTAAGACTCACACCTGAAGAGTTTCTGACCTGAGCATTTATACACACACCTGAGAATGCCTGGCACAGGTGGCTCTGCCGCCCGCCTGGCCCGTGCTGGAGGGAACCACTGTCCGAGGTCGTGCTCAGGCCTGGTGGGTGGGTCTGGATTTGTGGTTCTGAGGGCAAATGGTAGCATCACATGAAAAGCGCTATTCTGTTGTGTAGGAGAGGAAGACATTTCCTCTACCCAATCTGGGTCCTTCTGGCCTGGTTAAGAATTCAATTCACATGAGCTCAGCACTCTGGCTTCCACTGGACCCTGCAGGCAGAGATCCAGGAGAGGGAGACCGACGTGGTCCTCTTGTCAGGGGTCCAGGATCTCTCGGCTGCAGCAGTCCAGGAGCAAGCAGTGTCCAGCCAGTAAAATTTTATCCTGTTCTGGTCGCCAAACTAGGGGAGGAAGACATTTCCTCTACCCACTCTAGGTCCTTCTGGCTGGGCTACGAATTAAATTCACATGAGACAGAATAACAGGAGAAAATTAAGCAGAGACACTCAGGAAAACTGAGTAGCTCGCCAAAATAACAGAGGTTCTCATCTTGAATACCATCTTCAGCTGAAGACAGAGGAGGATGTTGGGGGTGGGGGAGCCAGTTATGGGAGATTACCAGAAAAGCACAGTAAACAAGAGTCAGGTTATTATGCAGATTTAAGTTCCTGCCTTCTGCATTGATAAGAGTTTCTAGAGATAAGGTCATCCCCTCTTCTTACCGGTACAGAGAGGGAGACACCTTTGCTGATGGAGATTTCCCTCACAAATGTAAATGTCTCTTACAAAGGGTATCTGCTTTTCAGAGTTTCTCTCATGTCTCAGTTTTTAAAAGTAACTAGCCCAAAATAATCCTCCTGCCAAAGAGGCATATCTTGGGGTGGCCTGTTCTGATCCCCCACAGTTGCTATTCCCATTTATGGGACCTGAATTTTTCTAAGGGCATCAACCCCCTTTTCACTGGTTCTTGTTTTGTTCCCGGAGATGCACATTGTCCAGTTCAGGGAAACGAGGAAGACGACGTTCAAACCCCACACAGCTCAGTGTGTGGAGGAGCTTTTCTTGATAGAATCTAGCTCTTATCTTTTATGTCTTCTCTCGGGAAAGTTTTCCGTTTAAAATTGCACAATTTATTCTTATCCTTCAGACTTCAGCCAAAGTGTCATTTTCTGACTTTCCCGATCTCATCGAATCTCCCCAAAGTTTCTAGGGCCTGTTCCCATGGCCATTTCAGCTGTGACTGCACACGTCCTTCAGTGGTGAGCCCGAGAGGGGAGGCATTGTCCCCGGGCTTGTCACCCCATCTGGGGCCTTGGGCTCTGGCTCACCCTCCACAAGCTTGTGGGAAGAATGTTGAAGCGGATTCCTCCACTGGGGCGCGCATCAGCCGTTCAGTAGACGTGCTGAGCACCTGTTCCCTGCTGGGCAGCGGGCACAGACTCAGGCACATGGACTGTCCACCATCACATCCACCTGGCCCTTGGGCCCTTCCCATGTGTGACCTCCAGTGTGCTGGGAACAAGAAGGTCAAGTTGGAGGCTCACTCAGAAGGGAGCCGAAGAAGGATGCAGGGAGGGCTCCTCCAAGTGGAGCCAATGGTCTTAGTGCAAGGTTGTCTTCCTGACCACGCCCCAAGTGAGACTCTGTCTTGGAGGGCCCTGTCGCTGCGGCACATTCTCTGCGTAGTGGGCTGTCCCGGCCCTTTGGGCTGCTCTTCCCAGGCGTGGGGTGGGTGGCACTGGGCCGTGAACCCTCACCTGCCTCGCGGCCCCGGCGCCAGCATCCACTCGCCAAGGCTGGTGGGGCTGTCGGGATCAGAGCCTGGGGTGGCACTGACCACTAACTCAGTGATGTCGTTGCAGCCCTCGGCCAGACCCTAACTGCCCCTCGCCCTTCTCAGGTGCACATTTACACCCATAGACCCTCGGTCTTCAAGGCCTGCCTACTTTGACATGTGCCACCCTTCAGACTGTCTCAATTGCCATCTGTCTTCAGACCCATCACTTTCTTTCACGCCCAGGGGCCTACTCACCCTGGCCAATCTGACCAGCTGGCATCATCCTTTCTCCTAATTTTGCATCAATCACATTAGTTGCAAAGACCCATCGAGGTCAGGGCCAGTGCAAAAGGATAGCTCTGAGAGAGTCCAAGGTGAGGAGAGCAGCTTGACAGGACCCCTTGAGTCGGCCTGTGCTCCTGATGGATCGCTGCCCGACGCCTGGCTCCCGCCAGCCCCAGAGAGCGTGCGAACCTGCACTCAGAGCTATGTGTAATCAATAGCCCTCCGCCTGGCCGACCTATGGGGCCAGTTCTGGGGCTCGCCTTCTCCCGCTCTATCACACAGCGCCATTCACGTCTTCCTCAATCACCCAGCCAGCTGCGAAGCTGGCTGAGAAAGGTCAGCGTGCCAACAAATCATTGGAAAGATTGTTTCAAAGCTTCACAAATCCGAAGGCGAGAGACTCTGTACTTATTACCCCTTACAGGATTAGAAACAAGCTTCTAGTCCTTTTGGAAATCCAGGCACATGGGAGAGCCCTGTCTGAAGATTTTTCATAAATGAAATTGTTGCATTTCCTAAGATCCATGTACGACTACGGTAACGTGCCGCATAACGACGATTCAG